GCAAGGAGAGACAAGAGGGCCTTCTTAAATGAACAATGCAAAGAAATAGAGGAAGATAACAGAAAAGGAAAGACCAGAGACAGCATCTTGAAAAGCAGAGACATCACCTTGCCGACAAAAGTCCGAATAGTCAGAGCTATGGTTTTTCCTGTTGTGATGTATGGAAGTGAGAGCTGGACCATAAAGAAAGCTGACCGCCGAAGAATTGATGCCTTTGAATTGTGGTGCTGGAGGAGGCTCTTGAGAGTCCCCTGGACTGCAAGGAGAACAAACCTATCAGTTCTAAAGGAAATCAACCCTGAGTGCTCACTGGAAAGACAGATCCTGAAGCTGAGGCTCCAGTACTTTGGCCATCTCATGAGAAGAAAAGAGTCCTTGGAAAAAACCCTGATGTTAGGAAGGTGTGACGGCAAGAGGAGAAGGGGACGACCGAGGATGAGATGGCTGGACAGTGTCTGCGAAGCAACCAACATGAACCTGACACAACTCCGGGAGGCAGTAGAAGACAGGAGGGCCTGGCGTGCTCTGGTCCATGGGGTCACGAAGAGGCGGACACGACTAAACGACTAACGGGAGGTAGTGGAAGATAGAAGGGCCTGGCGTGCTCTGGTCCATGGGGTCACGAAGAGTCGGACACGACTAAACGACTAAATGATGATGATGATGAAGATGTGTGTGTGTGTGTCGTTTGTTGGGGACCATATTTCTGGTGCTGTTTGGCTTGAGTCGAAGGAGAACGGCCTTTCACTGTTCTTGAGCTGAAAACCTCTTGCTATTCTCTCTCAAACCAGAGCCATTTTGTTTAGACCTTGGCACAAGAGCAGACTGTGAATATAGAGAAATCTCTCACACTGTTATTGAGTTGTGGGACAATTTTCCAAAGAAGATAAGAAAGTGTGAGATGGGACAGAGAATGAATGCAAACATCCTAAGATTGATCAGCAGAAAGATAATGACGCTGCACCCACTTATATAGAGTCTTCATAGTCATGGACTTTTAGCTGGCCAGGCTGGGAGAGCATAGAAAACTGTATTAATTGTTCGTGTGTATTTTTGACAACATACTTAGAGGTGGAAAAATGCTTTTTATTTTCTTAGCAAAAGGATCCTGAATTTCTTGCATGTATTTTTATCAAAGTTTTTGGAGTTATATTGGTTTTCAGTTTGAATTGGTATATTCTAGAGATGCAATCTCTGCCATTACGGGGTATTAAGCTTTTGCATTTTTGTAATGTAACCTGAAATCTTTTCATTGTTCCTTTTTTTTACTCTAAGAGAGATGCTCCTGTATTTCCTGACTTATGTATTTGACTAAAACTTAAGTTCAGCTATCGTATTTTTAAGCATATGTGCCTATAGCTTTTACCAAGGCTGTAAGATGTTCGGATATTACAAGTCTGAAATTATTTTATTCTTATGGAACTTAGAAGATGTAGAAATAAAACTGGAGAAATTTGACAAGTTTTGAAATTGTCTGTAATTATAGCAACAAAGAAAATACTTAAAACAAGACATCAATGTGGAGTTCCTTGTCAGTGACTCTCTGGTTTTATTCTGGGACTAACCTTTTACTGGGAGTTTGTCAGCTATGATGAACCAGAAATTCACCCATGTCGTCACACAGAGTTGTGTTCTTCGCCTGGGAAGTTTGTGAATCTTGGTGGGGCTAAGGAAATCAAGCATCCTTGTCAGGATCTGACACATTGAATCCATACGCTCATATACAGTGGTGCCTCGCTTAGTGATGTTAATCTGTGCAGCAAAAATCGCTGCTAAGCGATTTCATTGCTAAGCGATGTTAAAAAGCCCATAGAAATGCATGCGTTCCTATGGGCTTAAAAACTAACCTTATGCGAAGATCCTCCATAGGGGCGGCCATTTTCGGTGCTTCTAAAGTGAGGCAACACAGCAGGCAACCATTTTGTTTTCCCGCCGGGCATTTTGAAACCGCCGATCAGCTGTGCAAAAAGCTGTGCAAAAAGGGTCACTTTGCCATTATCGCTTCCCCGCGATCATTGCAAAGTGAAAAATCGCCATAGGGACCATCGCAAAGTGATCGCTTTTGTGATCGCAAAAACAGCTTTGCTAAGCAATTTCGTCACTCAACAGAGCGATCGCTAAGCGAGGCACCACTGTAATTGGTTCTCTCTGGACAGCAGAAACTTCAGGTAGTCTGTGGAAAGTATACTAGTACATTTATATATTATTGGGTAGAGGTAATGGATATGTTCAGACCTATATAAGGTACATTCTAGAATGGTGTGTACCAAGGACTCAACTGTTTGTTCCCCACAGGGGCATATCCTTTCTCCATAAGGAATGTTATTAACAAGGCTGAGGGAAAGCAATTGTAGCATTAAAGTTTACAGTGTCTTTCCTTACCTAATTGAATTTTTAATTATTCTTTTAATTTAGTTTCATTTAGTTTCTCTTTTTTTGGTGTGCTTTTAATATTACTAGTTTTAACAAATTTAGAATTGCCTCAGGCCTCCTTACCAGGAGTAAAATGAGATTTAATTTATTTATTTAATTGCAATAATTTTTGCATTGCCTTTCTCCTTTAAAAAGGACCCAAAGCATCTTGCATCATTGAAAAACCACATTTAAAGCTCAAAACCAGGAGCATAGAACCGTGGTTTGTGTTAATCAGGTTTTACATTTATGGTAGAAGGGTAACCAGACCAAAATGCCTGTGGCCACGTGGACTGTCGTGGCCTCCTGATATATGGCCCGTGGCCTGGACCTACACACCTGAGGAAATCTTTGGTTTGCTTCGAAAAAGGGCAGATAATTCCGTCCAGCCTGGACCTTTTGCATGATGGAATGGTCACATCATGTCCCACAGGACAAAGGAATGATTTTACCTCTGGGACTAAAAACAAAACAAAGCAATGCAATACAGTTTTTCTCCCAGTTTGTCATCCACCAACACCGAACTGAATTTTACAGACTTGTCATCACATTCCTTCATGCTCACATGCTGATGCTTCTCAGTTCATGTTTCTTCATGTCATTTTAAATTTTGCAGATCTCAGCTGCTCTGGGGCCTCCATCCCCCCCATTCTTATGTTCATCTGCTGGGATTTCAATAAACCTTTCCCTTCCTTATACCAACAGGAACTTCCTTTCCAGGGATGCCTTGGCCAGGAAAGGAAGTTTTCCCCAGGGCTCAGCCATTTATACCTGCACGAAGCCCTTCATCGAACGACTTGTCTTTCTGATCACCTTGCCTGTCCATAGAGGGCCCCCCCTCCACCTTCAAGGCACCCCCAGGAGGGGATAATATGAAAGGGTTTAAAAGGGTGAGGAAGAAAATATTAGATATAATTTTAGATTGTAAAGACTTAGAAGAAATGGTAAGATAAGTGAGCAGGAAGCTTAGTAAGAAAATGTATCGACCAATGTAACAATGATATATCATGTTCTCTGTCCCATTCTATATTTTTTTATTGACCCCAATACCCTGATCCAAATCCTCTTTCCTATGATCTTCCCTTACCTAACTGAAAATGAATATAAATAATAATAGAAAAGGAGGTGGGCGTGCCCTTCCCTTGGCCCAGGCCCCGCCCACCGACCCAACCCTTCTTCCCACGCTCCTCCTTCCTCTCCCTCTCCCACTCCAGGAGGGCGGGAGGTGGGGGGGCTGCTGGAAGAGCACAAGAGGGAGGGGGGTCGTGAAGAGGAGGGTGTCCCAGAGTGCAAGACATATAATAGGCTCAAGCTGCACAAAGCCAGATTTTGGTTGAATTTCCCTGCTTTGAATTTTATGTTGGCTGTGAACTCACTAGGTGCCTTAGGCAAGCTGCTACCTCACACTCAGTTCCCCTAGTTGCAACATGGGGATAATGACATTGACCTACTTAAAGCTACTGGGTTCTCGTAAGAATTAACAGCAAGGTAATATATATGAAGCATTCTGAGCCCTGCCAAGCATTATGTAATGTATTGTTGACTATCATGACTAACCTAGAGGACTAGGTGGTATGAACATGTCTCAAACCATTGTCTACTTCAGCTGGCAGAAGATTATTTAGGCAAAGACTTTCCCCACCAGCTGCTACCTGTTCCATTCAATAGGCCTTCTCCATGTAACATATGCCACTGCATGGCATCCTTTCGGTATGAAGTACAGTGTTTCAAAACAGTGCTAATTCAACCTCCAAGTGCTATCAATCTAAATTTTAATTGATTCAGCTTTGGAATCATGTAGCAACTGAGCTGTGGTTTATTATTTGAATGGTTTAAATGAAAAAAATATTGTTTTTTTTTTTATATTCTCATCACCCTGCATCTAATTTTAACCTTTCAAGAGTACGTTGAACCCCACAGATGGACAAATGTTTCCACAACATGAAGGATTTGCCAGATTCAATTTTAGTTCTTAATTTGAGAATGGCCCCTTGGTCCAGGGCTTGAAAAACTACCCAATGGAAAACTAGTCTGTGGGGTTAGACCAGATGACTCTCAGGATTCCTTCCAACTCTATAATTCTGTGATTTTTACCTTACGGTCAAAGCTTTGGAGTACAACTGCCAGAGGCCCCCAAACAGTATGGGCACTGGCCATGCTGTCTGTAGGATGCTAGGAACTTTAGTCCAAAAAGTCTTCTGAAACTCTATCCAGGGATCCCCCCTCCCCCTGGCCTTGGGAAGGGCTTTTTGGGGCTGCAGCTCCTACCCCTGCAGAGGCTGCTCCTGCCCGGATCCCTCCATGGGGGGTGAAGACGAGGGGGGGAAGGTTTCCACAAGTCGGATCCCATCTCTCCAGTTCTGGCTCACCAACCTTGGCTTCCTTCCCTCGTATTTTCAGGTTGCCGATTCGAGGTGTGTTTTTTCCTTCCAGCTTACATCCTTTTAAAAAAAGTTTTGTTCCCTCCTTTCTTCCCCTTTTTTGCCATTTTGCTTCTAATGCCCTGTTTGCCCTCTTTGTGGGGCGAATGTTGGTCTTGGTGGAGGATTAAACCCGGATCATCTTTTCTCCTTCCGGCTTCCAGTGTCCTTTGAGGAGGTTGACCCCATATTCACTCCAACTCAGAGGGTGGGATCCCTCTGGATCAAGTCTCGAGATCTCTGCGTGAGGACCTACTTCTGGGAACAAGGTCTCTCCAGGTAAGGATCCTATTGTTTCTTTGGGTGGGACAGTGAAGGATGATGGTCGGTTGCCCTGCCAAGATGCCTCTCTCAACGGAAGCACCCTGAGCGCGCGTCGGGATCCGGGGTTCCCATGCCACCGTCAGAACAGAACCATACATTTAAGAAAGATTTTTATTTTGCTGCTGCACACGACTCGAGAGTTGAGATCTAGTGAAGATTTTTATTTTAATTTATTAAAATTGATTTTATAAGACATACAATACAATGGTAATTCTCATTCCTCTCTTTGTTTTGTCATCTTTTCCCAGAAAAATTTATGTATTTTTATTTATTTCATTTATACCCTGCCTATCTGGTGCCCACAGACAGGATCTTCCGTTGAGTTGCCTTTGAATTTTTGAGCGCGAGTCTTCCACACCCTGGAGAGGAGGCTGTTTTGCCTTAAGAGACCCACTCAGACTGAAACCACACGAAGGCCATAACCTCATTGGTCTCCCCTGCAGGGTTGTTGGTAGGGCAGACTCTGAGCCTTAGACCAGAGGAAACGACCCCATGTGTCCTTCTCAAGGTGCATCAGGGCAAAGAAGGAGAGATTCCCCCCCAGAAAAAAACCATACGGGGGTTTAGAGTGGGACACGGGTCCCTCAATGGAAAGGGGGGCCCAACTGACACTAGCTTTATAGATCTTTCTTGACAGTTGATCTTCCCAGCCCCTCTTGGTTAGACACAATGGAAAGGGGGGCAACTGACACTAGCTTTATAGATCTCTCTTGATCTTCCCAGCCCCTCTTGGTTAGACGACTCCATCGAGCGGAGGAGAAGACCCAACAGGGAGGTCAGGCCCATCACACACACCCCTTTGACCCCTTTTCTGTCTGTCTGTCTGTCTCCCCCCCAGTCCCAATAGGTCTATGGCTACTCTCCATAGGTCTCTCTGCATATGCCTCTTGAGGTCCCTTGAGGCATGTCTAGCCTGTGTGTGTGTGTGTGTGTGTGTGTGCACCTCCCTTCGCCTCGGGGGCTTCTCTGCCTCTCAAGCCACTGGGGTACAGATGGTCGTGTTTTCCTCTCTCTTCCCTCCGAGTACTGAGCAAAAAAAGGGGGGAAGGCCTGGGGGGGTCACTGTGTATGCGTAGCTGCGAGGGGGCGATGGGAGGGCTCACTTTGGAAGCCATTTTCTTAAGGAGAGGAAAAGAGGCTCCTCTGGGCGCCTGAGGTGGCTCTCTTCTCTCAGGGTAGGGGTTCCATCAGGTTTTCTCTCTTAAGTGCAGGCAAGGAGAGACCTGCTTTCTGCTCCTTCCCTCCCCAGGAGGAAGAGGAAGAACTTTTTCTGTCTTCTTAAAGGCTCTGGGGCAGACAGACGTTCAACAGGGTGGGCTGTCCCCTTTCCCTGGGTCTTCCCATTCCCTACAGAATTTATTTGTGTATCAGTTAAGCTGAGAAGAAGCACCCCTTCCTTTGCAACCCCCCTCCCCAATCCCCCTCTGGTCCTTTGCTTTTTTCCCTTTTCTCGTCTCCTTTTCTCCTCTTCTTCTCCCCCCCCTTTTATTTTTTAAATCATTTTTTCATTCTCCCTTTTTTTCCCCTCTTCTTCACCCTCCCGAGGGACACAGTTGATACCAAGGAAGGCACCAGGAATGCCTCCAGCCAAATTGCAAAATGTAAAATACGGAGTAGAACAAGCCTTCTCTCAGGGCCATCGGCCTTTCCAGCAGGAGGAGCCGCCACCTTGATCAAGCAAGGTTTAAGGGAGGGAGGGAGGGAGGACAGACGGAAGGAAGGAAGGAAAGAAAGAAG